CTAATTTTTTGATTTATTGTAGAGATGAGGTCTCGCCAAGTTGCCCAGGCGGGTCTCGAACCCGCAGACTCAGGCAATTCACTCACCTCGGCCTCCCAAAGCGCGGGATTACAGGTTGAGTCACCGAACCCGGCCATGCATGGATCTTAAGTGTCCAAATCAGTGAATCTGAACCTAGGTGTATCCTCCGATCGGGCTGTAGCCCACAGCAGGGTGAATACGTTCTTGTTGTTTCGTTTCGTTTTTTAATTTGAGATGAGGTCTCCTTATGTTGCTCAGGCTGGTCTCCAACTCCTGGGCTCAAGTAGTCCTCCCGCCTCGGCCTCTCAAAGTGCTGGGATTACAGGTGTGAGCCACTGAGCCCAGCCCATTTTTGTAAAAGCCAGGCAGAATCCAGGGCGTGCTTCTGGGTTCCTGTTTAACAATCCCCTTGTCTCTTGTTTCCAGACGCCCAAAACGCCTTTACAGAAAAGCATGGACAAGCTGGGGAAGCAGCTGACTCTCTCCTCCTTTGGCATAATTGGTGAGTGTATGGCTTCTGTGCAGGTTCTGGAGTCGGAGAGGCCTCCCCATGGCCATTTCTTGCTGCCCGCCTGCACACAGCGTGGAGATTGGGATCAGAGACGCCCCCAGAGGGTGTTGCCGTATTCGTTGGGCCAGGCTGGCCACTGTAACCAGCAGCCCCTGTATCTTCATGGCTGTCATGGGAGACACAGCTTTCCTGAATGGCTCACCTGCAAACGCTGACTCGGGCCTGGGCCCAGGGCCCTGCTATATTGTTGCTCTGTCTTCCTCTAGGTGCTTGGAGGCCATAATTCCACTCAGCCGGCAGGTGGGAAAGAGAGAATGTGGAGGCTTGGTGGGGGGGTGGCTTGAAGGCGAGCGGACCAGGAGGTGAAGGCATCCCTCTGGCCCATTTTTATGGTCCAGGATGGAGTCTCATGGCCTACCTCACCACAAAGGAGGCTGGGAACTGTAGTTCAGCTGTGCACCCAGCCACATCTCCATGCTTCTAAGCAGCCCATGCCGCCCGGCCTCTGGCAACCCACCCAACAGCACTGACATGATACTGCAGACCTTGACTTGACACCTCTGGTGGGGGGAGGGAGTGCCGGGGGAGGGGTGCCGTGGTCTCTTTATCGGCTTCTTCCTGCTCTTCCCAGCTCCTTGCTTCTGTGTCCTTCATCTCAGCCTTTAGGGTCAACGAGTGCTTGGCCCACGGCAGATTCTCGATCAATATGTGTTGAGCGAATCATTTAAGAAAAGAACACACCGCTGCCCAGAGCCTGTGCAGTGATGGGGAGGAGGGTGTTCCTGAGTCTGGCTGAAACTGCAGAGCTAGAGAAGGTTCTAGGGAGAAACTGCCGTCCCACCCAGCAGAAGTTTTGTTGTACGTCTGCCCGCCGGATGCATTAATTCACTTAGTGAGTGTCCTGCGACACTCTAGACCCCGCGGTGGGTTCTGAAACCACCACGGTGCATCACACACCGTTTCTGTCCTTAGAAGAGACCCGGTCCAGTACGGGGAGACACCTGGACACATATGAAGTGTGAAAGCAGCTGTTCATCATGCTTGGGAGGGCTGGGAAAGCTCCGAGGAGGAAATATCAAAGTGGGTCTTGCAGGATGAACAGAAAGTTACCAAGCGAGGATAGGAGGAATGTATTCAGAAACATGGGTGTATCTCCCAGTCCCTTACCACGGGTAGGCGGTGGTGAGTTTAGCCAAGTGGGTAAAAGGGTGCAACCCGGAGCCAGATGGCTGGGGCTGCCACGCCAATCCTGCCCTTGTGACCCAGGCAAGCTATAGCACCTCTGTGCTGTGCTGGTCCTTTCTACAAAGGGAGGCATAAGCCCATCTTTCTTCCTAGAGGATGGCTTGTGAGCATTTGCTGAGCTAACACACAGGAATTGCCTCACGCCTGCCGGGTTACGAGAGGTGGTTGCCATGGTCGTGTCCGTGTATTACCGGACACTTCCGAGTCAGATGCTGTGCTCAACTTTTACCATGTTACTCCAGCTGATCCTCATTAATAACCGTTCATGGTAATTTTGTTATCCCATTTTATGGATGAGGAGACTGAGGCTCAAAGGGGTTAAGCAGCTTGCTCATTGTCCCAGGGCTGATTCATTGGGGAGGAAGATGCACCCTCCTCCCCCTGACCCCAAGGCGGGTCTCCTCTCCCGTGTTGAGAGTGGTTGGGAAACTTGGAGGAGACAGGGGGGCAGCGGGCAGGCACGTGCATTCTGTGTCGGCTCATCCTTCCATTGTGTGGAATCCTGAGCAAACCCCACCTGCTCTCCGTGAGCCTGGGATGCTCAGGCTCAGTGGTGAAAGCCACGGTGATGGATTGGTGCTGTCTGTCGGGACACAGCAGGGGAAAGCAGCTCGGCATGGCCATCCTTCACCTGCTTCCTCAGGGATCGTCAGACATTCCTGGCAGAAGAGAATGCCCAGGGCCCCGTGTGCATCCTAGAACAGCAATCGGAAACGGTGGCTCCCAGGCCACATTCAGTCTGCTCCCTGCTTGGGTATGGCCAGCAAGCCGAGAATATTTTTTGCACTTTTAAATGAATTTTTAAAAATCAAAAGAAGAATAATGTCTCATTTGGTGAAAATCATAGGAAATTCACATGTCAGTGTTCATTAGTCACATCTTACTGGAACACAGGCCTGCCATTTGCGTGTTGTCTGTGGCAGTCTTCAAGCGACAAGGACAAATTGAGTTGACCACATGACCCACAAAGCCCAGCTCTTTACTATCCAGGCCTATTTACTATCCAGGCCTTTCCAGACACCCGTCCTGGCTGACAGGATGGGCCCGGGCATTTATCGCAGGGCGGTGGCTCAGCCTGTAATCCCGCGCCTTTGGGAGGCTGAGGTGAGTGAATTGCCTGAGCCCGCGGGTTCGAGACCCGCCTGGGCAGCCAGACCTCATCTCTACAATAAATCAAAAAATCAACAGGGCGTGGTGGCGTATGCCTGTAATTCCGGCTACGCGGAAGGCTGAGGCAGAAGGATCGCCGGAGCCCAGCAGGTCGAAGCTGTGGTGGCCGGGAGCGGCCACTGCACTCCAGTCTGGGTGACAGAGTGAGACTCCAACTCACAGAAAAAAAAAAAAAGAGCACTATCTTTCTACCTCGGGGACACAGAGCTTCAAGGCAGATGGTCAACTTTCATTCACAAGATGAAATTGGTTTGTTTTTATAAGTACCAAGTCCTACGAGGTTGTATTGTATCGGTCTTTACCCCTGAAGTTAAATTAGAACAGAATTCAACTGATGTGTCCATGACAACGCCCCTTGAGACCACTCAAATGGTCTTCTTTTCTTTTCTTTTTTTGTTGAGTCAGAGTCTCATTCTGTCACCCAGGCTGGAGTGCAGTGGTGATGCTTCCAACTCAGCCTCCCAAGTAATGGGCTCGCACCACCACACCCGGCTGATTTTTTTACTTATTGTAAACACAAGGTCTCACCAAGTTGCCCAGGCTAGTCTCAAACTTATGGGCTCGGGCGATCCTCTTGCCTCTGCCTCCCAAAGTGCTGGGATTCCAGGCATGAGCCATTGCACCGGGCTGACATTCTTCTTTACAACATTTCAAGACCTGCTGGTAGGGGGATGGGGAGTTGAAACTGGTTTCCATGGATTCCTAGAGGCCCGCGGGGGGATGCAGGGAAGCAGTGGCGCTGGCAAACGCTCTCTAGGTCAGGCAGCGTGTGCCAATTCCCGTGGTGTCAGGACTCCCAATGTGGCCAATGTCAAGCTGCCAATGTAAAGACACTGAAGGTGGACTTGGAAGATGTGCGCTGTGGACCCTTGTGAGCCCAGGTTCCCACTCCAGGAAGGCCACAGGGCGGAGCACGTTCCTAGTGGGCGGGGCGCTTTCCTGGTGGGTGGGGTGTGCTCCTAGTGGGCGGGCACATTTTGGTGGGCGGGGCTGCAGGCTCACTGCCCCACCTCTTTTTCCAACAGCCCTCCCCCTCTGATCTATTTCATGTGAGTTCCTTTGGATTCCAGCAAAGTTGTCAGTTGATGACTGAGTTCTGTAGCTGATAACCGTACACCCAAAGCCAAACAGCAAAAACCGGCAGATATGACACCCTCACCCTGTGCCCCCCACACTTACACGCCCCACCACCGTCCAGCACTGAATGCCCCTGGTCTCTGCTCCCTGCAAAGCCAAGCTGGTGATCTTTAGCGAGCTCTCCGAGGGCGTCACCAGGCGACCCCCAACCCCTTCTGTTCCCTTCTCGCTTCTGACAGTGATGGCGACGACAGTAAACCATCGGGTGTTTACTCTGGGCCAAGAGCTGTGCAGAGCACTCCAGGAGGATTGTTGCATCTTCACCCTGGGTCCGCCTCCTTAAGGGAGGCATGGTGGTTTCCCCCATTTTGCAGATGAGGAAGCTGCGGCAGCACCTGGCGGTCCCAGGGCTCTTCCTCATTGCCAGGGCATCTCGTGAACTTTCACGGTCCCTGCCACTCTGTGCAGCCCTTGCCACTCCTGCCCCGAGGTGCCATCTGTGACCATCGCCACGTCTCCAGTCACCTGTGCAGTACCTGGTGTTCAGTGAACACTGGGAAAGTTACTGATGAGAGAATGGAAAAGGGAGGATATTGAACCACAAACACCACAGCATCAGACAGTTTAAAAACAGTGTCCTGTGGGCCCATCGCAGGAGCGGCTGTCATTTGTCACCTCAAACACAGCAGGGGGGATGTCCCAGATACACACAGCATCTGGGGGAGGTTTGGGGAAAATATGTAAATGCTTGCAGACCGCCCAAAATAAACCAATTGTTTCTTTAACTTAAACTTGCCTTAGGCCAGGCGCGGTGGCTCATGCCTGTAACCCCAGCACTTTGGGAAGTGGAGATAAGAGGATTGCCTGAGTCCAGCGGTTCGAGACCAGCCTGGGCAACTTGACAAGCCCGCTTCTCTACAATAAATCAAAAAATTAGCTGGTCATGGTGGTGTGCGCCTGTGATTCCACCTACTTGGAAGGCTGAGGCAGAAGGATCTCCCGAGCCCAGCAGGTCGAGGCTGTGGTGGCCGTGAGCATGCCACTCCAGCCTGGGTGACCGAGGGTGACTCTGACTCAAAAAAAAAAAAAAAGACTTAAACTTGCCTTGAACCTTTTCTGAGAAAATAAAATGAGTTTTTTCGAGGGTATAAAAATACCTTCCTTAAAAAATGAGAAGGGCATGTCAGAAGTATCTGCGGGCCGGGCTCGGTGGCTCAGCCTGTAATCCCAGCACTTTGGGAGGCTGAGATGAGTGGATTGCCTGAGCCTGCGAGTTCGAGACCCGCCTGGACAACTTGGTGAGACCTCATCTCTACAATAAATCAAAATTTGGCCGGGCGTGGTAGCGTGTGCCTGTAGTTCCGGCTACTTGGAAGGCTGAGGCAGAAGGATCGCCAGAGCCCAGCAGCAGGTCGAGGCTGCGGTGGCTGGGAGCAGCCACTGCACTGTAGTCTGGGCGACAGAGTGAGACTCCAACTCAAAAAAACAAAACAAAACAGAAGTATCTGCGGGTGCCCCTTTCCCGGTGTGTGGATTTCAGCGAGCTCCATGAAGCAATGAGTGTGACACACCTTTAGGCGTGTGCCTGTGCATGTACGTGTGTAGACGTGTGTCTCTTGTCTCTCTCCAGGTCTCATCATGTTCATTGGCTGGTTGCAGGGAAAGCAGCTTCTCAGCATGTTCACCATTGGGGTCAGGTAAGGGCGCCGTGGCTGGCCTATGCCTTGTCAGTGCGTTCAATGGCACCGGGCCCTTCCCTGTGCAGAAGGTGGGAGGCCTCAGCGGAAGCAGGGGTTGCCTGGTGGATGCTTGCAGACTGAGCAGAGGCATGTGACCCGGGGTTCTCTCCTGTCGCTCTTTGTCCCCGAGCTTGGGTCTTCCTGGCCAAGAGCGTGGATCCCGGAGCCAGCCTCCCTCGGCTTAAATCCTGCTCTGGCCACTGGCTGGCCTCTGAGCTCTCTGTACCTCGGTTTCCCATTCTGTAAAGCAGGAATATGAGCCATCCCTCTCCTGGGGTCACTGAGAGGATTAAATGAGCCCGTCTGTGGTTGTGCCTACATGATAGGCGGTGCGTAGTGAGTGGCTGCTCTTTGTACTAGTGTAGAACTCAGTCCAAGCCCTTTTCGTTTTACAGAAAAAACTGTAAGGGCAGCAGGCAGAGAGTACAAGGCCGCATGGTGAAGGCAAGGCTGGGAGTCAGGGCACTTATTATTGTTATTATTATTCAAGTCAGGGTCTCACTCTGTCTCCCAGACCAGAGTGTAGCGGCACGATCACGGCTACCTCAGCCTTGACCTCTCGTGCTCAGGCACTCCTCCTGCCTCTGCCTCCAAGTAGCTGGAACCACAGGCTCACGCCACCACACCCAGCTGATTTTTTCTTTAATTTTTATAGAAACGAGGTCTCGCTTTGTTGCTAGGCTGATCTCCATCTCCTGGGCTCAAGTCATGCTCCCGCCTCGGCCTCCCAAAGTGCTGGGATTACAGGCATGAGCCACCATACCTGGCCAGAGAGCTTGACTTTATTTTTTATTTTTTTATTTGCAAAGATAGGTTTGTTGTTTACCTTTTTCTCATTATTTGTGATCATTTTTTGGCTTAATAGTACATTTAACCATGATTATAATTGGTATTTTAGCATCTAAGAAGCAAAGATAAATACAAGTATTTGATATGTGAGATGTCTATTTAACCATCATATGATAAACATTTTTTCCAGCAGATTTTTTGTTAATGTAAAATGGAATAAATGGTAAAATATATGGTATACATGGTAAATTCTAGTTTTATTAAATTTAAATTGTAAAACATACTTGGAACACAAAGATTGTTCTTTTTTTATATCAATTTTTTTATTTTGATATTGTGGGGTACAGTTAAGGGTTAGGTATACAAATATGCTTCGTTCAGGCAGCCTTGTTGATAAGGGGTGTCTCCCCTTCCCCAGACAGATATTGACTACCATTAATCCCACCTCCCTTCCCCTCTCCCCCCCATAGTTCCCCACCACTGTCAGTCCTTTTCTTATGGTAGTGTGTTGGATGATCAAGGTCCACTATATGAGTGAGAACATGCGATACTCAGATCTTTGTTTCTGTGAGAGGTCACTCAGTATTATAGACTCTAGCTCCATCCAGGTTGCTGCGAAATTCATGATTTTGTTCTTTTTTATGGCTGCGTGGTATTCCATCGTATATATGTACTACATTTTTTTAATTCAGTCCTCTTTTGATGGACAGCATGGTTGGTTTCAGGTTCTTGCTATCGTGAACAATGGAGAGCTTGACTTTAAACCAAGGGGTCCTGTCCTTCCTCTGCATGGGGATTCTAGTAACTAGTCTCAAGCCTCTGGGTCCTCGAGATGGGCAGCCTGGTGCGTGCAGTGCTATGGCTTTGCCGGGAGCTCTTCGTGGCTGCTTGCCCAGGGCGGCGAGGAAGCAGAGTGCTGGAGGCTGTCACTCACTGGGTACGTCCCGCTGAAGGAGGCTGGGGGCCCTTCCAGAACACGGGGATCACAGGACACAGTTCTAGGCTCATGCCAAGCCCAGTGGTTCCCAGCAGGTAATGCATATGCCACTGGTGTCTGCAAGATAGTTGTAGCGGATACGTGGACAGTTATTTAATATCTGTTTTTAAATCATGTATATTCATAATTACGTATTAAAAGTATGCATATTAATAATAATTAATACATCAAACACACTACATAAACAAGCCCAGTTTCCCATCAACTGATGAGTACATGAAACAGCAAACACACAATACTGTGCAGCCACAGATGGGCCAGAGATACCAGCTCATGCCACAACGTGGACCGAATCCCTTTTGCTAGGCGAAAGAACCCAGTGGCAAAAGACCACACATTATATGACTTCATTTATATAAAATGCCTGAAAATAGGTCACCCTTTAGAGAGTGTGTGCCAGGAGCCGGGGTGCACAGATGGGGTGGGATGGCTAACAGTTATGGGTTTCTTTTGGGGGTGAAGAAAGTGTTCTCAAATCACTTGGGGTGACGGGTGAACAGTTCTGCACTTACTAAGCATGACTGGATTATATATTAATGCTTCCAAGGGGTGAATTTTATGGTCTGCAAATAATACATCAATTAAAAAAACGGAAGGACAGTATGGAACAGGTGACGAAGAGTGCTGCTGTTGAAAGGGTCCTTGAAGCCCTTCTGAGTTCTCTATAAAAAGTAAACTGTTGTCGCAAGCACCCGTGCTATATCGATTGTTATAGCAGATTACAGCACACACAGCTCCTGGTGGGTTGAGGCATCCCTGTGTGTGCTGGGACATGGAGGTGTCTAGGGGGCAGCTCTCCCAGTGCTGACCAGGTGGGTAAGAGTAGGGGTCCCCAGCCTTTCTGGCATCGGGGACAGGTTTCGTGGAAGGCAGTTTCTCCACGAATGGAAGAGGGGGATCGTTAGATTCCCATAAGGAGCTGCCACCTAGATCCCTCATGGGTTCACAATAGGGTTCGCACTCCTAGGAGACTCTAATGCTGCAGCTGATCTGATAGGAGGCAGAGCTCCACTCACCCACCACTCACCTCCTGCTGTGCGACCCAGTTCCTAACAGGCCACGGACCCATACTGGTCCACGACCCAGGGGTCGGGAACCCCAGGGCAAGAGAACCTTGCTTTAAGGGCCAGGTGTGAGTGGCTGTGGGACATTGTATAGCACACAGTATCGGTGCACCCATCATGGTACATGGTATTGGGTATACTTGTCTATGGTACATAGCGAGGCTTGCCTGTGTATACGTGGATGCTCACAGTTGCCTGGCAATTAGCAACAGAGCAGATTCAAAGGTAGGTCTTTAAAAATTCCCAGTGCCTGACTTTTTCAATCACACTGCTTGGTACGCGTTAACTTAGGGACAGGTGGCAAAATCAACATGTGGCCGGGGTGTGCCGCGTTACCAAAGCATTCAGGAACTGTTTTTTGAATGAATGGAAATTGGACAAGGCTATGTCTGGCTTTAGACACTTTGTTAAGCCATGTGTTTAACAAAGTCCATAACACCAAATCTGGGAGCATGTAAAAATACTTATGATCAAAAAGAATGTTATGCGATTCTTGCACAGAGGGGACAAAAACCATAAAAGCAAAACACAAATGACAGATATTTGGAAAACATTTCAGACTAATGCTAAGCCAAAATAAGGCTTTTTACCTTCAGAAATATTTACATCCTATAATGAGGCTAGGTGCAGTGGCCTCCACCTGTCATCCCAGCACTTTGGGAGGCTGAGGCAGGAGGATCGCTTGAGCTGAGGCGTTCGAGACCAGTTTGGGCAACATGGTGAGACTTCCTCTCTAGGAAAAAAATGTTGTAAATGTGCTAGGTGTGATAGGACGTACCTGTAGTCCCAGCTACTGGGGAGGGTGAAGCCGAAGGATTGCTTGAGCCCAGGAGTCAAGGCTGCAGTGAGCTGAAATCATGCCACTGCCCTCCAGCCTGAGTGACAGAGTGAGACTGTCTCCAAAAACAAAAAACAAAAAACCCTATGAGACACACAGACTTCAAACCACATCAGACTATCTTTAAAGGAGAATTATCAGTATGAAAAGAAAAAAAAGCTATATTAATAGCTAATTACCTTTAAGTTTTTGGCTTTCAATAATCTATAAATAAGTGGATAAATACCAGGTCTGAACTTCCCCTCCAGACTATCCGGATCCCTAAAAATAAGGCTGTGGTGCTGTTCAGTTGTTCCTGCTCAATTTTAGGCCTTTTTCCCTGAACACATGCCCGGCTCATGCTTTTTTTTGCAACTGGCCATGAGAACGGGTGGGGGAAGCCCTCGGTGATGAAGCCTTGACCTCAAACCAGCCGGGGCTTCCTGACTTCCTCTCCTGCACGGAGCCATCTCCACGGGCCCCAACGAGCACTTGCCTTCCTATGAGCTCAGGGGGTGCTGACGGCATGTGCCAACCATTGGTTTTCTCAAGTCTCCTTCGTGTTCAGCACCCAGCATTGGGATTTGAGAGGTTGTGAAAAGACAGCCGTGGTTCCTTCTCATGGGTCCCTCCTTCTACCCTTCCAGCAGGTCTCTGTGGAATAAAGAATCTGTGGGACAGCCGGGAGTGGTGGCTCACGCCTGTAACCCCAGCATTTTGGGAGGTCGAGGCGAGAGGATTATCTGAGTCCAGGGGCTGGAGACCAGCCCTGGCAATTTGGCAAGACTTCATCTCTACAATAAATTTTTTTTTTAATTAACCAGACATGGTGGTGCGGGCCTGTAGTTCCAGCTACTTGGAAGGCTGAGGCGGAAGGCTTGCCTGAGTCCAGCAGGTCGAGGCTGCAGGAGTTGTGAGCATGCCACTGCACTCCGGCCTGGCGACAGAGTGAGACCCCAACTCAAAAAAAAAAAAAAAGAGATCGAAGGGGGTGCGGGGACCAGAGCTTGTTGGTGCTGGGCAAGGATCAGGCACAGGAGTGGAACAGATGACCCCGGACCATCCTCATGCAGCCCCATGGAGTAAGGCTGGCCTCCCCTTTACAGATCTGGTCTCCCCTTACGGATCATGGGCCCATGGTTACAGAGTCAGGGCATGGGACAGACAGACGTCAGACCCCAGCGTCTGATCCAAGACAAGTGCCTGTCTCGCCCCCCCCCACTTCCTGTCCTTGGCAGCCATGGGCAGTGGGCTTCTCTGTTTACCCCACAAATATTGACCAAAGATCTGT